CACCACCTGTTACAAAAGTAAATTTGTTAACTCAGGAATATGTTGCCTAGAAAAGAAATACATCCTATTTTCATTCCTATGGCTGTGGTGTTTCTTCCACTACTTTCTTTTTTTTTTTTTTAATTTGATTTATATGCCGCCCTTCTCCGGAGACTCAGGGCGGCTTACAATGCATTAAGCAATAGCCTTCATACTTTTATATATTTATACAAAGTCAGCTCATTGCCCCCACAAACTGGGTCCTCAATTTACCTACCTTAGAAAGGATGGAAGGCTGAGTCAACCTTGAGCCTGGTGAGATTCGAACTTTCCCCCTCTTTTAAAATTGTTTTTCCTTAAGTTAAATCCATGGTCCGCTTTAGTGGTATGGGAAGGTCTACTGTGGGCAGAGAAACAAAGATTTTTTTATTTTTATTTTATTTAGTTTGTCGAACATGTACAAGATAACAGATATAGGTATAAACATGGGCATGAACAAGGAATGAGTACAAATACATGGAGACAGTAGGACAGGGATGGTAGGCATGCTGGTGCGCTTTTGCACTCCCCCTTTACGGACATTTTAGGAATGGGGTGAGGTCCATGGTAGACAGTTTAAGGTTGAAGCTGTGTGGGTTTGAGGCTGTAACAACGGAGTCAGGGAGAGCATTCCAGGCATTGACCACTCTGTTGCTGAAGTTGTATTTTCTGCAATCGAGCAGTTTACCTTGAGTTTGTATCTATTGTTTGCCCATGTATTGTTGAGGTTGAAGCTCAGTCTCCAAGAAAGATATGTGGTGATTCTTCCATTCTTAATTGTTCTACATGTAGAGACACAATCTTGCCAAACTAAAGCAGACTGTATATTCTGGGAATTATTAGGAAAGCGCTAACTTCACCCTGTTGTTCTTACAAAAATTATCTGAGCTCAGTTGTCTTTTACTCCTCTGGAATATGCCCCCTCATTCCTTGTATTGTATCCCACCACATTTCATTGCATATGAGACCTTTGGGATTCAAGCTTCCTTTCTGCAGTCCAGTGCAGTCCACTTAACAATCCACACAGCTTCTTAATGACCCCAACTGGGAGAGCTGGGATTGCAACCATTGAATGAAGCAGTCATATAGTAACTCTCTTAATGATGCAATGACCTGCAACCAAAATTCTGAGCCTATTTTAGGTCATAAGTCAAGCACTATCTGTATATTGTCAAAGGTTGTTACAGGTACATAAGAAAGCCATAGAAAGTACATAGGTTGACTGTGGAATTGAAAGAGAGAGAAGAATCAGAGTACTACCAAGTTTGGAGTAGATGCAGTGGTGGGTTCCTCCCAGTTCGGTCCGGTTCGGCCGAACCGGTAGCGGTGATGATATGACGTCACCGAACCGGTTCTCCCCTCCCCACCGCCCTCCCACCCCCCCACCCACCCACATTATTCTTACCTTTTATTTGGTCCCACCCCCAATCTATTGCTGCCTCCTGAGTCCCAGCTGATGACTAGAGGGAAAAAAACTGTTTAAACTCTTGGCGCGGGGCTTCAAAGGGCCGTCCTACAGCTGATCAGTGTTAAAAGCAAACAAACGAGTCGGGTCGTAAGTGCGAGGACTGGTCGTAAGTGCGAGGACCTTCCAGAAATGACTCTGACCAGCTAGCCATGCCCACCTAGTCACATGACCTCCAAGCCACACCCATAAAATAAGCCACGCTCACAGAACCGGTAGTAAAAAAATTTAGAACCCACCCCTGAGTAGATGGTATACCTGGCTAGAGAATAGGAGTAAAATTACTGTATAAGAATTATATAATATTGATGACAATATGATTATATCATATATATGTGTAAATATTATTATAATTCAAACATCTGTATAATATAGGATAGTGAACCATAGAAATAGAACTTATGTAAATATGAATGTTATGGATGATATTGATACTGGAAATGCTGTAATGAGTGAAAAATTGTGTTTTGTTTTTTAATGTTGAAAATGTTTAAGAAAAAAATATTTTTTAAAAACACAAGAACATAAGAAAGCCATGGAAGGCCCTGATTGGCCTGCTTCTCTTCCCATTCACAAATCGCAATTTTACTCTTTCTAGCAATGTGAATATGCCTACCTGGTTTACAAGCTGTAAATACTTTTGTTAATAGCTGGATACACTTTTCATCATTCCAATTAAACAAGACTCTTGATAAGATATAAAGATCTGCTTCAGGAATTGGATCTTTAAAGAAATCCCCTGCAAAAAGAAAAATTCCTTTGATAAGGTAGGAATCTAAGTCTATTATCATCTTGGAAACAGAATTTATTCTCCCTTTCACAAAGCTTGGCTCAACAATGCCACTTTCAATAGTGTTTTTTGAAATGGCAGAGATATTGATTCCAAACATACATTACCTTCACGGAAAGTGATCTGTGAGTCATCTGAAAATGCATTATATTTTTTAGATATTTCCACAACTTCAGGAAGGTCAAAAAGTCACAGTACAATTTGGGTATTTTGAAATCAATTCTTTAGCTAAGCCACTGCTACTTCCTTGAAAAAAGAAAAAAAATCCAAAAAAAGGAACTACGTAAGAAAAAAATATCCTGTATCTCAATTGTTTTTTTAACAATTTACTAGAATATTTATGATTATTTTTTAAAAAAACTTAGCTCATTGATTTATTTTTCATCCATCTGGGCTAATCAGGCATATAATATTGTGATTTAAATAAATATATTCCTTAAAACATGTTGTCTGATTCATTGTCCTCTTCAAAAGTCCAGGTGCCTTTTGAAAAAGGACCTTTGGGACAACCATGACATGGATAACTGAGAATCATAGATATATGTAAGGAAAAAAGATCCTGCCTGTCATTTTTAACAATTTACTAGAATATTTTTTTTAAAAAAATTGATTTATATGCCGCCCTTCTCCGGAGACTCAGGGCGGCTTACAATGCGTTAAGCAATAGCCTTCATACTTTTGTATATTTATACAAAGTCAGCTTATTGCCCCCACAAACTGGGTCCTCAATTTACCTACCTTAGAAAGGATGGATTTGTTCTCCAACATCTTTATATTTTTAATCATTGTCTTTTTACTTTCAGTAATGCTTCATTTATTTTAAAATCTATGATACTAGTATTATTCATCATTCCACTCCTCCCCAATGATTCTTTGCATAACATCTTTGATTTCTTTGCCTTATCGAAATTAATGAGCTCCCTTTTATTCTAAGTAGCTGTAGTGAAATCTGAGCAGAAATTAATCCAATCTTTCTTCCACCATTGTTTACAGTTCCATGCAAAAATATCTGTTTTAGATCAATTTCTCAGTTTTTCCTTCCTGTTAGGCTATGAAACCATTTTCCAAACTATATACCAGCTATGTAAAATGGATAACTGTTTCTTGATAAAATTAATAATAATAATTCTAATCTAATTCTAATCTCAGAGCATGATGTTGAGAAAGGTTGTTCTATGATTTCCATATTGTTATGGTCATCCCAAGATCCAATTGTGAGAATTTTTCACACATTTCTTTCCAAGCAGCTGACTTTTCCAATGTTCACTGCAGATTGATAGGAGTGCTGCACTGACATACTAAGATACAGGATAAGCAGAGCAAAGCATTGCATGTATAAAAGAGAACCTAAAACCCATTGGTTACACATCAAATATTTTTTTCAAGCAAGTTTAAAAACTCCATGACATTAAATGTAGATTTGTGGTGCATTCTGTAATGCTTTTCATACATTTTTTCTCTTTATATACCTTCACCTAAATCTTGACTCCTGATGACTGCCTGGAAAAGTTCCCACAGATTTTTGGCAAGATTCAGAACTGGTTTGCCATTGCCCACTTCCTAGGGCTGAGAGAGAGTGACTGGTCCAAGGTCACCCAGCTGGCTTTATGTCTAATGCAGGACTAGAACTCACAGTCTCCCAGTTTCTAGCCTGATGCCTTAACTACTGCACAAAGCTGTCTCTCTTTCATACCATGCATCATGGCAATATGAACCCCAGGGAAGGGAAGGAAAAATAAGGAAAAAGAGTGCTTTCATCTTCAAAAATGCCATCACCTCTCTTGTTAGTTACTGTGAGACATCCAGTAATACTTTTAAAATTTACAAATAACATTTAAAACTCCAGGAAAGGGAAGATCTTATCTTCAAAGTGTCACATAGCATTAAATTGCTGGTAAGGGCCATGATGAAGACCTTCAGGTACTTACCAATAGATCATAAATCAGCTGAAAACCAGAAAAATCAAAGGCAGAGACCACTTCTTTTCCATGCAGACTCCAAGCCTCATCCATGTACCTGAAAAAGATTTCAATGCCTTCCTTTGATCTACAATTGAAAAATGCATTGGCAGGTAATAAACAGAAATACAACTACATGAAAAATAATATGATACGTCTGACCGTAAAACTATACCCTTCATTATGAGGTAGGATTTCTGCAGATTTTTGTGATAATACTTTGATTTTAAAGAGCAGGTTGCCTAATATCTGGCCTGAAGATAAATGGCATTTGTCTGGGGCTGTATGAATTATTCGCAGTTCTAACCAGGGACATTCCTGGCTCAGCTGGCTTTGAAGAATCTCAAAAATAGCCCAACGTTTTTATGAACTGGCATATGAGCAACATAAAATACATGAAAAGAATTTGGGAGAATCTTTGTATAATCAACAAAAGTATCTTGGTTCCTATAATGGACTATCCTGCAGATTCTAGCAATTCAGATGTAGCTCTAGCTCTAGCTATAGATTTGAGTTCTGCCTTTTGAAAATTAATTCTTGGTCAATGAGACAGGTTGTAAATATATTCCAGCAAAGAGATACTGAAGACTAAAAGAAAAACATCACGAGACAGAAAAGATACGGGCACTATGTATCTTATTCATGCTTCATTAAGATCCACACATAGCTAGTTTTCATGTTATTCTTTTTCAGGGTAAGCAACTTTATTCAAAGCCCGGGAAATAATGAACAGGTGATTTTTACCAAAGAAAGTAATAAAAACTTTTACCTATACAGTGCGCCAAAAACTTCCTTTGAAGAAATGCCATATATTGATAGAATTTGAGGTTTCCCATTCCTGTAACAGATTTTTTGTTTTATTTTAAAAAAATTGAAAGCAACAAAAATACCATTAGTGGAGGAAAGCATCATACTGGAGAACAGTTAAAGCAAAACTGGGAACCAGTCAAAAATAAAAATAAGAGTTAGAAGTGGAGGAAAGCATGTGCTGGAAAACAGCTAAAGTAAAGCTGTGAACCAGTCAATAGAGTTAGGAGTGGAGGAAAGCATACGCTGGGTAACAGTTAAAGCAAAACTGTGAACTAGCCAAAAAATAAAAAGTTAAGAGTGGAGGAAAATATACCTGGAGAGCAACTAAAATACAGTTGTGAACCAGTTAAAAATAGAGGTTGGAGCGGAGGAAAGAATTGCTGGAAAGCAACTTTTTGAGCTGCGAACCAGTTTCATAATAGATTTAGGAGGAGTGAAGGAGATAATGTTGGTATGCAGTTAAAATTATACTGTGAACCAGCCTAAATAAGTAAGGTTAGGAGTGGAGGAAAGCATCGCTGGAAAGCAACTGATTAAGATGTGAACCAACCAAAAAATAAACCTAGGAGGAAGTGGAGGAGATAATACTGGAAAATAGTTAAGCCAAACTGTGAACCAGTTAAATAAATAGAGATAGAAGTGGCGGGAAACACTGTTGGGAAATAGCTATTTAAATTATGAACCAGTTAAATATTAGACTTCAAATTAAAGTATTTTGGGAGTGACAAATTATGAGATGGAAATGTTGATTGATTTAGAAACGATTAAGAGAGGAGGAAAATATTCTTTGTCAAGATTATGGATATTAGCTGCCATTTAAGAGAGGTACAATATAGATTCGATGTAATGGGTCTTAGAAATGAGGAATATATATGAAATATTGATTGTTAAAATGACAAAGATTTGGAATGATGTCTATTTGGAAATAATTGTCTAGAATTTAGGGTGACATAATAGAATGATAAATGTTTAGAATAAGATTTTTATTTTTATTTTCCTTTTTAAAGATGTAAATGGATAAAATTTGGAACAAAATTGGTTGAGGGAATGTGAGTAATTGTATTTACTTTATACTGGATCAAATCCTTGCTCTAAAAAGGTGTATTTTATGTTTTATGTTTAAAAAAATAAAAAACTTTTCAAAAAAAAATACCATTAGTGATTATATTCTTTTAAATCTCCAGAATCAAATATATATTCAAATAGCCAATCATTACTCTAAAACTATTACAGGTGCTAAAAAGTAATGTAATGTGAAAACATGTGAAGTGAGTGAATTAAATTGAAAGGTCAATCTTGTTTCACTATGGTTTTTTTATTATTATTACTAAATAGTATGATCACCAAACAAATTGCTTTAACTAATCTTTTGTGGGATTTTTTTTTTACTTTCAATATTAGGCTCTCTGAATTCTGATATATGATCAACTGAGTTTTGTTTCAATCATCAAAGTGTTTTCCTAAATGTTTAATCAGATTAAAAAGTTTAATTTATCTTTTTACAAATCAGCTTTCTATGTCTCTATGTGTATAGGCATCTTTTCTGAAGACATTGAGCAAGAATAAAATTTTGATTAAGTGGATAAGTAACATGCACCACTGGAAAGGCCAAAAGGAAATGGGTGTGTAATCAGTTCGACGCATCTGTTGAAATTCCACCTTTTGCAAGCAACACAGAATGATGGTTAAACAAATCCCCAGCTTCAAAGATTATTAGTTCTTTGATCTCAGGGGAGACAGCTGACAAAAACTGTATTGAATGATGATAACTTTAGGGAGAATCCGGTGCGGCGGGACTGGCTGGGAAAATGCCAGGCTCCGACGAGCTCAGCAAAAACCAGCCAGACAAACCAACACCAGGGGGTCTTCAGACCAAAGCTGTCCTGTAGGGACAGCAAAGAAAGAGAGGCAGCTCAGTGTCTAAGAGGGGCAGGCAAGTCTCTTAGATAGCCTGAGAAATTCTCTCCGAGCCGGTGACGGGGGGCGGCGATCAGAGTGAATTGCCATGAATCTGGAGCCTCTGAAGCAAGCAATATGCAGGAGGGAAGATTTGGACAGAGTGCTGGTGTTGGATGAGTGATCGGCTAACCCACAGACAATAAAAAGAAAATTCTAAATATATGTATAAATAGTACCGTATTTTCCGGCGTATAAGACGACTTTTTAACACAGGAAAATCATCTCAAAAGTCGGGGGTCGTCTTATACGCTGGGTACCTGAATCTGAGTTGCTGGCACTGACCGATGATGCTATGGGAGCGCTGACAACATTGAGGGGAAGCTGTGCCGATCTCGTCAAGGCTGCATGCTGCTGAATGCTGGACCCAGCTGGTTGCTACGCGGAGCTTCCCCCAGGCATCCAGGGGGATATTACCAACACTCCGACTTCCCCAGCTGACCCCCAGTGATGGCGAGCCCCACCTGTATGGGGAAGTCAGAGCGTCGGTAATATCCCCCTGGATGCCTGGGGGAAGTTCCGCGCAGCAACCAGCTGGGTCCAGCATTCAGCGGCATGCAGCCTTGACGAGATCGGCACAGCTTCCCAAATCTGAGTTGCTGGTGCTGACTGATGACGCTACGGGAGCGCCGGCAACATTGACAGGAAGCTGTGCCGATCTCGTCAAGGCTGCATGCCGCTCAATGCTGGACCCAGCTGGTTGCTGCGCGGAGCTTCACCCAGGCATCCAGGGGGATATTACCGACCCTCCGACTTCCCCAGACAGGTGGGGCTCGCCATCACTGGGGGTCAGCTGGGGAAGTCGGAGCGTCAATAATATCCCCCTGGATGCCTGGGTGAAGCTCTGTTCAGCAACCAGCTGGGTCCAGCATTCAGCAGCAGGCAGCCTTGACTAGATCGGCACAGCTTTCCGTCAATGTTATCAGCACTCCCGTAGTGTCAGCAGTCAGTGCCAGCAACTCAGATTCGGGAAGATTCAGATTCAACTCAGATCTCGTCAAGGCTGCATGCCGTTCAATGCTGGAGCCAGCTGGTTGCTGCGCGGAGCTTCACCCAGGCATCCAGGGGGATATTACCGACGCTCCGACTTCCCCAGACAGGTGGGGCTCGCCATCACTGGGGGTCAGCTGGGGAAGTCGGAGCGTCGGTAATATCCCCCTGGATGCCTGGAATGGTGGGGGAAGCTCCGCACAGCAACCAGCTGGCTCCAGCATTGAGCGGCATGCAGCCTTGACGAGATCGGCACAGCTTCCTGTCAATGTTGTCGGCGCTCCCGTAGCATCATCGGTCAGCGCCAGCAACTCAGATTCATGAAGCTGTGCCGATCTCGTCAAGACTGCATGGGTGACAGGAAAAAAACCTGGTACAAAATAGCCCTCTTGCCACTACACGTAGCGTAGCCCATTACCTTGACAGGCAGATGTGCAGCCTGGCTCATAGGTATCTCTACAGTACAGCAACAGTACATACAGTACAGCAACAGTACATACAGTACAGTATACAAATAGCTAACAGTCAAGACCCCATCATGGCTCCACCAGCAAGAAGAAAGAAATATGAAGCCAGTTTTAAACTTAAAGTTGTAAACTTTTCCATGGAACATAATAACTGTACTGCTGCAAGACAATATGGAGTAACAGAAAAGATGGTTCGGGACTGGAAAGCAAATGTAAAAGCATTAAAAAGTATGCCAAGGGATAAGTGTGCATTAAGAAGAGGCACCCCACATTGGCCAGAACTCGAAAAACATGTAGCAGACATGGTGAATGAGCATCACCAAAACAGTTATGTAGTGACATGAAATAAAATACGTTTGTTTGCACTTCAGTGGGTCAAATCTAACCCAGATCACAGCAGCAGATTTAAGGCCACTGTATCCTGGTGTACTAGAGTCTTGGAAAGGCATAATTTGGTACTGAGGCAAAAGACAAAAATTGCACAAAAATTACCTGCAGATCTTGATGCCAAAGTAAATAATTTCCATCGATACGTAACACAACAGCGCAATAAACATGGCTATGCGTTAAGTAGTATCGGAAATATGGATGAAACGCCAATGAATTTTGATATGATTGGAAATAAAACTGTCCATCCAAAAGGTGAAAAAACAATTTTAATTAAAACAACAGGACATGAGAAGTCCAGTTTTACAGTGGTACTAGCATGCACAGCTGATGGCTCCAAACTGAGACCAATGATTATTTTTAAAAGAAAAACAATGCCGAAACTCAAGTTCCCTGTTGGTTGTTTTGTACATATGAATGAAAAAGGCTGGATGGATGAAGAAGGGGTAAAGCTATGGCTTGATAATGTATGGAACAGGCGACCAGGTGGACATTCAAAAATGTAGTCCACTGGTGTGGGATATGTTCAGGGCTCATTTAACTCCCAGCACCAAGCAAAGGCTTGCAAGAATAAACACAGATGTGGCAGTTATTCCTGCAGGATTGACATCGTTGGTACAGCCACTGGATGTGTGCCTAAACAAGCCATTTAAAGATCGCATTCAAGAACAGTGGAATGAGTGGATGGTTAGCGGTGAAAAGTCATTCTCCGAAGGAAGGGAAGGCAGTCAGACTGGAGAAGGACTTCCTCTATGCAGCATTGATCGAGTCTTGCCAATCAGAATAACTCCGCCCTCATGGCCTAGTGTTTCGACTTGATCTATGCTGGATAGACGAGTCTTCCACTATCTCCTATTAACTGCTAGATTACTTCGCCTTTGGACTTTATTTCATTTTGTTTTAATTAAGTTTTCCTGCTCACCCTTCCTCGGCTAGAGTCTGCTTGTGAGTTAAAACCTCAGTTGTTGCCGGGGATCCGACTAGGAGCTGACGGCTGTCAGTTCTCCCCCTCAACAACCTTATCTCTCCAATCGTGCTGGGAGCCTGACGGCTGTCAGTTCTCCCCCTCAGCAGCCTTATCTCTCCGATCGTGTTAATTAGCTCCTGCTGCGCTTCAAAGGCTGTTGCCCAGCAGCGTTCCTCCCGGCTTGAGACTCTGATCGCCTTAACTTTGCTGCTGTGAGCCTGACAGGATCCTAACGGACAGGCTTTTCCTCTGCAGCCTTATCTTCTCCGATCTCCTTAACGAGCCGCTGCTGCGCTTCAAAGGCATTTAGCCTAGCAGCGTTTCCCTCAGCTGGAGCTTGCCTCGACGCAACTCATATCACACTAATAGCCTTGAGCTAGCGATTCTTCTGCCTGCCTATTTACTGGATTGACTTTTGCCTGTGGGGAGCCTAATTGAATTGCTGCATCAGTGAGTTTGGGCGGTTAATTTTGGCGCGATTTTGCCAGTGGCCATTTTGTTCAACGGAGATCTCTGTCATGGGGGATAGATCCAAGATCACAGCTTCAGCCCTTCAAGGCGCCCTGCTGCTACTGCCAATGACCCGCTGGAAGGTCCCTCGACCCAGCCCCCTCCAGCCAAGCGGTCCAGGGCTTCCAAGGCCACGGCACCTGCTATCCCTTTGGCCACCAAAGAGGAACAACGCCGCCATCGTGCAATGGAGAAGGCTTTCTCTAAGGCGGCCCATCAATTTCAGGCTCCTGCCCCCCGACCGGCCTACCAGACCCCTCCTGCCTCAACCTCCCAGGTCATGGCAGATACCCACAATTCCAGGGAGCTCTCTCCGGACCACCCTCCTTCGGCTGGGCCACCTCCCCCCCCCAGGAAAGGAACCTTTGTTCCAGACACTGCCTGAGGCAGTCTCCTCTAGGGGCTCTTCTCCAGCTCCACCTGTGGACCCACCTGCACCCGCTGCTCCTCCTCAGGTGCCCGAAGCCATTGAGGCAATGCTAACCAGAGTCATCCGAGACGGCTTCGCCCAATGCTTACAGCAAGTGGGGTTGCCTTCTGCACCCCCTCCTCAACCCCAATGCCAACATCGTAGTTTCGATGACCAGTCCCTTGACCTGGAACAGGATGACTATGACTATGCGGGGGACTTAGCTTTGACCTCGGATCATGAGGAGGCCCCAGATGCAGCCCTTTCTGACGATGAAGGATTGATCCCGGATCAGTCACTGTTTATAGGTCTTTTTAACCCACAGATGTTTAGATCCCTACTGTTTAAGGCCATTGCCACCACCCGCTTGGGTGAGATCCCATCGGCTGTCTCTGCTCCCACACCCTTGGACCCCGCTTCTGCTCTCTTTGCGGAACCAACTGTGGCACCGGAAACCATCCCGGCACCAAAGCTTTTTCTCGACGTGCTCCAACACCAATGGTCCCTTCCGGGCGCGGGCCCCAGCCCTAACAACTTAGACAAACGACTCTACAATTCTGCTTTGGCCTTGGCCGACCTTCTCCAACCTCCGATCGTTGACTCTCCCATCGTCGCCTTGACTAATCCAGTCCATCCCACGGGCCCGCCCGAAGTTTCCCTTCATCCAGAGGACAAAAGAGCAGAGAAGACGCTCATCAAGGGACACCTCACGGCTGCTTGGTCCATCCGGGCCTCATCCTTGGCGTCCTTTTTCAACCGTGCGGCCCTTCTCTGGTTGAAGCAGCTGCAAGACCGCTTGCCCCGTGCGGACCTCAGGGCTCATCAAGATCTCAATAAGATTACCGCAGCCCTAGAATATTCAGCGGATGCCACCCTCAATGCTACGAGATTCGCAGCCAGGGCCCTTGGCTCTTCCATCACTTCGCGCCCCCTTTCTGGCTCAGGGGCTGGCAGGCGGATATGCGTAGTAAGTGGCAGCTCGCCTCCGCCCCCTATTCCGCAGGTTCTCTCTTTGGACCCCCGCTGGAACCTCTCCTGATCGAAACCCGGGACAAGCGCAAGATTCTCCCTTCTCAACTTCGGCGGTCGGCTTCACGCTACACTCCGTATCCACGGTCCCAGTCCTTTCGTGGTCCTGACTCCAGCTTGTTCCAGCCACGCTACCACCATCCTGCCCCTCCTCGAAGCCAACATCTTGACTCCCAGGTTAGATAGGGGTGTAGTAACCTGCCACACCAGTCCTTTCGGGGAGGGCGGGGATGCTTCGCCAGGTGAGGCAGATAGGTCCCGCAATGATATTCCTATAGGGGGTCGCTTGTCCTATTTCTATCCCCAATGGGTCTCCTCTGTATCTGACGCCTGACATCAACTACCTGGAATTGCGGGCCATGCACTTATCCCTTCTCACCTTTCGATCTCTGGTGGAGGGCCAGGACATTCTAGTCCATACCGACAACATGGCAACCAAAACGCACATAAACAAGATAGGGGGCACTCATTCCAAGGCTCTGCTTACGGAGACCATTCTGCTGGGCCGCTGGGCTGAATCCCATCTGTCATCCATCCAGGCGGACCACATTTCTGGGACGGCAAATCTACAAGCGGATGCCCTCAGCCGCTCTCCCTTGGATCACGGGGAGTGGAGCCTCTCTCCATTCCTCTTCTGGGAGATTGTCCGTCGATACGGGACCCCGGTTGTCGACTTGTTTGCCTCGGCGACGAATCACCTCCTTCCAAGGTACTTCTCACGGTTCCCGGACCCTCAGGCAGAGGATTCCGATGCCCTCCTCTGCCGGTCTTCTATACGCATTCCCTCCCCTTCCCCTCATCCCTTGTGTACTCAGGAAGATGTTGGCGGAGAAGGCGGATGTAATTCTCGTCGCCCTGCACTGGCCACGTCGCCCTTGGTACGCGGATCTGCTGTCCCTCTCTGTAGCACCTCACTGGCGCATACCGAACTCCTTAGTGATGCTGACCCAGGGCCGTCTCACTTATCCGGATCCCAATTGGCTTTACTTGACCGTTTAGAGGTTGAGCGGCATCTCCTAACGGCTCACCACGTCCCTCCTCCAGTGGTTACCATGATGGAAGCCACTCGCCGCCCATCTACAACCAGAATCTATGGAGCTACCTGGCGCTCCTTCGTTTCCTGGGGTAACCGTTCTGTGGTCGATCCTCTTTCGGCTTCCGTCCTCCAAGTCCTTTCCTTCCTCCAAGCTGGCTTCGAAGCAGGATTAGCTCCTAACACCCTCCATCGTCAGGTGGCAGCTCTGGCTTCAGTCCTTTCCTGCGGTTCTCCAGACTCCTTGTCCCATCACCCCTTCATCCGCAATTTCCTCCGCGGAGCTACCAATCTCCGCCCTCCTCCTGTGCATCGTTTCCCTATTTGGGATCTGAACAAAGTTCTCACGGCACTCATCTCGTCTCCCTTCGAACCACTTCATCAGGTTTCTCTCCATTTCCTATCGTTTAAAGTTTCGTTCCTCGTCGCTATTACTTCGGCGCGCAGGATCTCGGAGCTAGCTGCCCTGTCCACCTGCAGTGACCTTTGTATCTTTCACAGGGACAGGGTGGTCCTGCGCCTTGCCCCAGTTTTTTTGCCTAAAGTTAACACGTTATTCCATAGGGCACAAGAGATTGTGTTCCCGAATTTTTGCCCTCACCCTACGCATCGTTTGGAACGCTCGTGGCATCAACTGGATGTCCGCAGGGCTCTGCGGATCTACCTGGCCCGGACTGCTCCTTTTCGCAAAACAGAAGCATTGTTCGTTTCCTTTCAACCAGATACTGTGGGGACCCGCGTCTCTAGTACTACCTTAGGACGATGGATCAGGGCTACTATCGCCTCTGCCTACCAACAATTGAAGCTGCCTGTCCCGCGAAACATCATGGCCCATTCAACCAGGAGCACAGCAACTTCCGCCGCTTGGTCCACTCAAGCACCTCTGGAAGAGGTCTGCAGGGCTGCCACGTGGACTTCTATTTCTCCATTCATTGGCCACTACCGCGTGGATTCCTTCGCATCTGCGGATGCTGCCTTTGGTCGCCAAATCCTGCAGTCCGTTCTTCCCTCCTGAAGTCTTCGGGCCAGTTGTTCCCGCCCTGGTGGACATGCAGCTTTGGTATGTCCCCAGTCTGACTGCCTTCCCTTCCTTTGGAGAATGGACGTTAGTCTTACCTGATACATCCGTTCTCGTTCAGGAAGGGAAGTTAGTCAGCCCCACCCTTGGGTCCGGCCCTCTCGGTCGGTTGGG